TTTTTTTTATAAACTTGCATCGAGACTCGGGTTCGATCTAATTTAACCATGATTAAACTAAGATTTTAGCAGAAAATACCCCAAAATTAACTTTATCGGTACGACCTTGATATGATTTTACAATTTTTGTTTTTTTTTAACATAAATCGAGGCTCGGGTTGGAACAACGTGTCAAGCTTGATTTTAACCAAAAATGAACTGCGACTTTAGTACAAAATACTCTTATGCTAACTTTTTCGGTACGAACTTTAGGTTATTGTTTTACAATTTTTGGTTTTTTTGAACATAAATCGAGGCTCGGTTTGGAGCAACATGTCAAGCCTGATTTAACTACGGTTGAGTTATGATTTTAGCACAAAATACGCTAATGCTAACTTTTCCGGTATGACCTTCGATATGATTTTACAATTTTTTATTTTTGTTAACATAAATTGATATTCTGGTTGGAGTAACCAACGACATTTTCCCACTTTTTGTTGTGTAAGTAAGAGGGGGAAATTACAGGAAGTCATTTTAATAAAACTCAAACTCTCATCATGGTTTTCCAAAATCATAAATAAAAAATAATAATTAGCAATTGACCAATCAAAGAATGACTGTGAGCAGCTCAACCAAACCACCCACATTTTGTTGTTGTGAGGGAGATTAAATGCTTGATATCTTTGACATGGCAAGTCAGTATTGAGCATATTTTTAGGGAAGCAAACTTTGTAGTTGACTATCTAGCTTCCCTCGGTCACACTTTTTCTTTGGGAGTCCATTCGTTTCCGACTCCATGTTACCTCATGAATTACTGGCTGTACTTTGATTTGATTGGGGTGACAACTCCTCGTTTTATTAATGGATAAGGGTTGGGGCGCCCATGAAGCGCTCCGATTTTAACAAAAAAAAAAAGACTGTGCGCAAAACAAAAACAACCAACCTGTCACATTAATATAACTCTTATGCAACCGTACATACCTTCTAACTTTTATTATATTCATGGATAAGAGATAGGAATGTCAATGGACAAGTTTGGGGCGGGTTTCTTGGTACACAGACCCTCCTCGTGGCAGGTCGGATAATTTATTATGGGTCGAGCATGCCGACCTAATGAGTATGCAATCTATATGAAAAACATTAGAAATATTCGTTATTTTTATTATAAGACCAAGAAAACAAACAATATTATGATAAATGTAGTTAAATTATTTGAGAAAATGAGGTTTTCACTCATTTACAACTTTAGTGTAGCTAAAATATGATGTAATAAAAGGAAAATCCAAAGTAATTTGACTAAGATTACAAGTAATTTAGGCAAGAACGGATCAAGAATGCGGCGGGTCAGGGCAGGTCGGGTCGATGAGAGTACACATGCCCAGTGGCGTAGCCAGAATTTTATGTAAGGGTGTGCATGAAAATAATTTTTGAACAATAACTCATGATGCGATCGCTTGTTTGATATAATAAAATTATTTTAAAACTACATAATTGTCCAAACTACGAAGATTTGCTCTTAATATTATCCCACCAAATAATCATTCACAAATTTTTCAATTAAGCCGAAGGCTGGTCAATCGTTTCATTGCAGAAAACTTTATATCGATATGTATTTTTTGGTGTTGATAATATCAACATGTATATTTACAAAAGGTAGTAGCAAATTAAACCAAGTTTCACAAGCAAATATATTGATGAGAACCAATTTTCTCTTCCGACTATCGTTGGCATAAGAAGTTCAATGATTTCCTCTAATAATTTGCATCCTCTTATTCATTTTGATAAATTAGACTATATTAATATAGAAATTCGTAGGTAGAATTAATTTATATAATTGGTTGGGATTGAATTGTAAAAAATTGACCATTGACATTGAGATTTGGGGTTCAAATTTCATTATGAGTAATATTTACTCAACTAAGTTTTGGAAGTGTTCCCCTAAATCAAGGGTGTGCCATGGCACCTCCTTCAAACCTTGTAGCTCCGCCCCTGCACATGCCCGCCCTGTCCTGCCTACGGGACGGGTCGAATCCGCACCAAAACAGACCAGACAGGTCGGATAAAACGGATCAGGTCGAAATTGTCATCCCTGATAAGAGAGTTGGTTACTCTGCTTGCAGATACCAAATGAAATGGTTAAAACCCCGTACGTACCTTAATGGTTAGATTAATCTTCTACAAATAACTCGAGTTATTGGTATCAATAAAAATTTTGTGTAATCATCAAGAGGTATTGTGTTCGACTTTTCGTGATACTGCTATTAACAATTGATTTAAACATAAAATATATCATGCTTAAACAAACTTAATGCTCACGAGCCGGGTTTCGCGTTTGAACTGACGTGTAAAAATAACACCACTGTTAATAATTGGTATGCGATCCATATTTGAATCTCTTCCAACAACTCTATGGCAACCGTAGATATAGTTTTAGTGTTGATCTTCATAAAAAAAATGAAATTTAGATTAGACCTGCGGTTAAAATAGAATGTAGCTCATTAACGTCTGGCAGGAAATGCATGCAGCACTGTCGAGTCTGGATATAACAAAATCAAAATGTAACAAAAAAAAAAAAAATTAATAATGCACCGACTTTGGGGAAAGAAACAACCTGTCTGGTTCCTTCTGGGAATTAATTAAGCTCATGGGATCTGGTTCTGCACAAGTGAAAACTACAAGACGTACAGAAAGCTCTTGTCAAACGCGCGTGATCAATGTTCTCCCGTGTCGGGTATGATCATTTATAATGTGCTAATCTGCATCCATCTTTCGTTATGAACTTATATGATCAACATGGCGTCGGACAATTAATCAGAGGTAAACAACGATATTAACGAGGCTGAGAGCCTGAGACATGCGCAGTGGCGAAGCCAGTTTGTAAAACTAGGTGTGTCCGGTTATTAAAATATAAATATATAAATAATTATTTAATAATTAAAATTGAATGGAAACTAGCGGACTAGAAAAGGGAGAACCCAGTAGTAGCAGAGGCTTATGTTTAGATTTCATAGTTCTTGGACAAAATTGAATAGGATAATTGAGAAAAAAGAATACAAATAGAGATTTATTTCAATGGAAGATTTCATTTAAAGCGTATAAATTAATTTTATATCAATCAAATAACAAAACTTGAGCTTCATTGTAATGGTAAAAAATACTTTTTATACTATATTAATGTGATGAATTTGAATATTTTATCCTTTACATAAATATATATAGGGATGTATTAATTTTTTACCAAAACTTACCGGTGTCCTAGGACACATCACAAACCCTACTCCCTCCGCCTATGGACATGTGTTATGATTTTTCCTCGCGAGGAAGTTTAATTTTGTAAGGAGTCATGGTTTTGTTCAATGTGTATCGAATATATAGAATATGAATGAATGACGAAAATTAGATTGCTATATTTTGGTTTTGCTTGGCATGATTTCGAGAGTACTTCTACTATGTTATAAAGTATTTGTGCTTTAATGTACAGTTTGAAGTTGTACCATAACGCTAAATATATAAGTTCAGGTTGTACCATTAAAAAAGTTGTACCATCAAATAAAAGTACAAGTTTAAGTTGTACTATAAAAATGTTTGTACAAAAGTGTACATGTACCATTTAAAAAGTTGTACTATAACGTTAAAGGTACAACTTATAGTTGTACACTTGTACTATAACGTTAAAGGTACAACTTGTAGTTGTATCATAAAAACAAAAACCTATAGCACCAATGTTATATAGCGTTGTAAAATTCCTCTTGTTTCGAATGATATTAGGAAGAACTTATTGATATTCGATAGGATAATATATGCTAAATTTTTTAGATAAATTGATAAATTTTTTCAAATATTTTCTTTATTGGTATTGAAATACGTTGTATGATTATACTTGTGTAAAATACAAGCTAATCATAAACTTCAAATCTCACGATACTAGTGTGTTTGCCTCGTTGGATGATTATTATGAAGCAATCATTATTCATTAGCATGTATAAATAAAAAGCTGGTGAACTCGATACCCTTGTTGGGTTTATTATAATCATTATCCCCTAAAGAGTGTCTTCAATGGTGGACCTATTTGTATTAATGCACATGTCCAGTCCTAACCTTTCTCTTTTCTTTTGCAGGACAAATTAATGCTACAAAGCACAATCCTCATCATTACTTAACGCAAAAATAAAATTATTTTCCCCAGCCAAGAGAAAATAAATAAGATGGATCTGCAAACAAACACAGCCACGTGCATGAAGCGTATGGTTTAAATGCCAAACTCTGTACTTTGTAATTTTCCTCAGCACACAAACATGTCATTGTTTGTTCATATTCGGGAAACTCTTATCTATATTTAGTATATACTTAAATCATCTTTGCCGGTTTAATATAAATATTGAAATGTATTTGTATTTGCATACTTGAGCTCGGCCGACAAAAGTAACAATTTACTCAAATAGATTTTTAACTGCATACAAAATTTTACAACATATATGTTTATAAACTGCCCAATTTGTCATTTGGAGATCGTCACATAAATATATTTATTAAACTCGTATGAGCACACATGCAATATGGATCGACCTGGTAATTATTCAACCTTAGTATCGAGAGATGACCCTCAACCACAAATATATGTTTGATCTGGTTCTAATATCAATAACAATTTAGATGAAAAGAAATCAAACATATTGCACTATCTAGGTTTAGATTTTAAAGCCATCGATTCTTAATGTAAAAGAAACATCTCTCTAGACAGTCATAGACTAACCACCAAGGTCACTCATTCTATTCCTTCAGGCAATATTGATCTCATCCTTCAGGGCTTTTCTTTCCTGGTAAAAAGAAAGGATGTCGACTGTAGCAAAAGCCCAATGAGAAGCAGGCTGAAGCCCACTCCATGACTCTATTTAGGGCCGCACTTCGTAGTCCAAATTTGGCGGGTTTGGCCCGGGAAAAGCCCGAGCAACCCGCTCCCAGTATTTTTTTTTTTTTGGTCCTCTCTTTCGGCTAGGGCAGTTCGTTCGCAGGGAGAGAAGTTGCTAGGGTATAAATTGCAGCAGAAGCGCCTGGTAGAGGGTTTTAGGGCGTAAAAGAAGAAACGTAGCCGTAGAAGAGGGCTCTTTTTCGGGCGACCAAACTTTTATCTTGCTAAGAAAATCTTTCCAAAGGTACGCGGATTTACAGACTCCCCCAGATCCCCTCAACCAAACCCTAGGTTCTTCTTCTCATTCTCCATCACTGCCCGCTTCGTCTCTTGCCGAGAAGCTGCTTTCACTTCCCCGATTCACTGTTCCTGTTCCCGGTTGCTGTGAATTCGTCTCTTCGTCAGTCTCGCTGACGATTCGTGATGTTGTGTTTTTCACTGTGTTCGCAGATGGATCGGTACCAGAGAGTTGAGAAGCCGAGAGCTGAGACTCCTATCGATGAGAACGAGATTCGAATTACTAGCCAGGGAAGGATGCGCAGCTATATCTCCTACGCCATGAGCCTGCTTCAAGTATGGATTCGCCGTTTACGCTTCTCCAATTTTTACCATCAGTCTGTTCTTCCAGTGTCTCTGGTTTGGCTTTCCCGCTCTGTTTTTGGCTGTTGTGCGGTGTAAGTTTGGCCTGTTTGTGCTTTCTGCTTCTGCGTCGTGTTTTGAAAGCGTTCCGCCCTTTCGGATTTGAATGTGTAGTAGTTTGTATTATGGAACAATTACTGAGAATTAGGGAGTACAGGTTGCGGCGCCATAGTCAAGGTTGTTTAGTGCCTAGCTGTTTGGAAGCTTCAATTGTTAGGCTTAATAGTTGTGTTTAGTGGACAAAATGACATTTGTTGACTAATTAATAGTCTGCGCCGACTTAGCCTTGTGAGCACCTGTCTGATGCTTTTCGATATGGGAATGATATGAATCGGCTCTTTTGTGACAAATTACGTGAAGAGGGACTTAAATAACAGTGCTCAATGCCTTCTGCAGGAGAAAGGTGCAGATGAAATTGTATTCAAGGCAATGGGAAGGGCCATCAATAAGACCGTGACCATAGTGGAACTTATCAAGGTTTGTTATTCAGTTCTTGAGTTCACTAATTGCTAAGGTAAGTTGCATGGCCTTGTCTAAGTTGGAGTAAAGAATGATGGCATGTGTTTTGTACTTGTAATTCAGAGGAGGATCGTTGGTCTTCATCAAATCACATCAATTGGGTCCACTGATATAACAGATACTTGGGAGCCCCTCGAGGAAGGACTTCTTCCGTAAGGACATACTTTCCCAAACATGAATTGGTTTTTTTTTTTTTTTTGCCATGACCTTATTGGTTTTTGACCTCCAACCCCGTATTCTTATGCAGTTTGGAGACTACAAGGCATGTGTCAATGATTACAATAACGCTCTCCAAGAAGGAATTGGATACAGCTTCTGTTGGGTGAGTTTAATTGATTATGATCAAAGGAATGTTTTGTGTCTGTGATGTATCTTTTCAAACTGTTTGGTGAGTCCTTTTATGCTTTTCATTTTGAGCTTATTGTAGCTGGGAAATCACAATGTTTTTTTGTTTAAACTTGTGATGTGTATCCCTTTTTAGGCCCGGTTCCAAAAAATATCTATCCATTCATATTGTATAGCCATCTCTCTACTGTTTTGGAATCTAAATTGAGAGGTTTTAGGATCTGGGGTTACTGATTAGGTACTAGATGCATTGTTCAGTTGACAGATTGGTTTGTTCGGACATGTTGCAGCCTTTGGTTGGCTTTTCTCCAAGCTATAACAGTTTCCTATTGTTGCAAAAAATTTACTGCATCTGGTTATTGGTGATGATCCTTCTCCTAGGTGTGGTCGTTTCTCAAGTGACTAATAGTACCCATTTTTGGCATATTTTGCTACTACTCGTATCTATCTATTCTTACATGCTGCTGTTCCATTCAGGTATCAGCCCCCATTACCTGAAGACCAGGTGAAAGCCTCAACAGATTATGAATATGAAGGAGGAGGTACGACCGCCTCATATTTTCCTCCAAGTCTTCTTCTGTTTCTATCTCTCTTTATTTTCTTACCTGAATTTCTTGGGCAGAGGGATCTCCTAATGGCCGAGGGAGAGGTCGTGGTGGCAGGGGAAGGTCAAGGGGCAGAGGTAGTACCAAACACCCTAATGCTTATTGTATACTGTGCATTTTATCTCGAGACATTTCCATTTCATTGAATTGCTTTTTTATTAATTATGTCCCAATCTTTTTCAGGGAATGGATATGTGTCTGGTGAGTACGAAGATGGTGGTTGGGACCAACAAGGCTATTCCAGGGGCAGGGGTAGGGGTCGGGGTAGAGGACGTGGCGGATTCCGCGGCCGTGGTAGAGGTGCCTATAATGGTCCTCCTCCTGCTGAACCACAACAGGAAGATGGTGGCTTCTATGATGCTCCTCCTCAAGCCCGCGGTAACCTTATTCTACTATCTTTTGTAATGTCCGGTCTGAATGATTTCACACTTATTTTTCTTCGTGGTTCCTTCTCAGGGCGTGGCCGTGGGAGAGGTGGATACCGTGGAAGGGGCCGTGGTGGAGGTAGATCGAATGGACCAGCAATCCAGGCGGCTGCTTGATAATGAGACGTTACGGTCTTCAACTGGGATTCTGGTCTCCCTCTTGAATGCAGTTTTCTTCTCCTGGCAATGTTTTTATCAGCTCGTTATTATCCGCTTTTTGTTTGTTCTTTCCAAAATTTTGGGATTCTGTCGCGCGCTTGTTTGCCGGTTTGGTGGCAAGTTAGGGATTCTCTGTGTTTAACTGTTAGGACATTTTCTTCCCATATATGTGTAACCACAGTTTAGACTAATCCTTTGTAGTCTTGAAATTTGTTGTGTTTTAGGTCGTTTTAGATTGTGGTTGAACAAATAACACTGTAACAATCTCCCTTTTTAAGTTGTTACGGTAAGCATTCTTTTATTGTTCATTATTTCCCTTTGTGTTTGAACAAACTTGTTTTGGGTCGACTCTTAGGTTAACTGCGATCTAAAGCATGTGTCTTTTCCTCCCACTTGTATCCTTGTACTCAGTTCTTCTGGGTATGACCTTATGTTCATTCGATCTTGCCAAAATTCGATCAACTGTGTCTGTGCTTTGCTGGCTACGGGTTGTAGAAGTGATCTCTGTTCTGCGCAACGAGAAGGATGTGATTGATGGTTTCTTGGGCTTGGTAGATGCGTTCGTAATAAGGTAAACAGACAATACACTAGCTCCATCGACACAGCGAAAGCTGCAGCAAACTGGCAACAAATTTCATCTCTTCACAACGTCAGTTCATATAACACAACAACTTTTAGCTTATAAACAGACAGAAAAGACGATAGCTTCTGATCTCTACAGGAAGATATGAACTCTTAAGGCTGCTATTGATTTATTCAAGTTAAAATAACAGCATCAGAGGCCTAAGCATCTCATCTCAAATTCGGAGGGTCTCAGAATTTGGTATGCAGCAGATCGAGGCGGCTGTCGAACTTTGCGGAAACCAGTGGGTCGATGATCTTTCTCCAGCCGTTGTAATCAAGGGGAGAGCCGATGTCGGGCAACGCAAACCCATTGACATAGAAAGCTGGTGTACCGTAAACTCCTCTAGATGCGCTAAACTGCACACAACAAAAGAAGCATTCATCATTTGTAGGAGCTAACTCCATGTTCGGGAATTCACCCTATATCTACGAATAGGACCTTGACGGAGGAAGCCTTGCCTAAAGATGAACAAGAGATTTAAAAGAAAAGGGGTGGAGAGCTTACCTTGAAGGACACCCTTGTCTTGAGATCGGTTCTTCTGTCGTTGAACGCAGTTTCGAATTCGGAGTGAAGGAAGTTCCCAACTGCTGGAGTAGCGAAATCGACCACCTGTTTCACAACCGAAGCTTTCGACAAGTTGATCGTCTGATCATTGTAGAACTTCTCCTGAGTTTCAAGCAGCCAAATCAGTCAGCAATATAAACATTCACCAATGGGCATGAGACAACGCCAACACTCTTTCCTAGTCTTGAACTTGTAGACCCAACAGCAAAGGCTGAGTGAGCCATCAGCTCTGGATAGAAACATTTCAGGACAACAAGCGAACAATTTTCCGATCGAATACAATATTGAGTCAGTTTTGTCATTGGCCGAGCATAAATATACAGAACATCTAGACATGGATTGAGGTCAAATTCCAAGAGAAGCATAAAAACTCCCAACTTTCACCACAAATTGCACTATTTTCCCCCTTACCTGATACTTGAAGAATTGCTCCATTAACGGGAACGTTGAGGAAGCATTCAACAAATTGGCGATATGCAGGGCTCGAGAAGCAACATACGCGTTGTCATGGTACCTGCGGAGGACCCAAAACCAGAAATCAGAAGCCCTGAAACCCCTTTGAGGAGTTATAACAAACACTTTGTGGGCATAGCAGCAACCTCAGCTAAAATTGGGAAAGAAAACTTCAAATCAAATGATTACTTACGGCAACGGGAGGAGATGGAGGCGGAGGGAGACGCGAGGGCCGTAGTGATCGAGAGCTAGCTTGAGAGGAGGCCAGGAGTCTCTGCTGTCGGGGCAAACTGGGTCGAAGAAAGCTTCGATCAGAATGGCGTCCGGGTCGACCCGGCCGCTGCTGTAGAGGAACCCATCGAACTTGGCTGGAGGCAAACTCTGGGCTTGAATCGTAATCCAGTTCGGAGAACTCGAGAGGAAGATGCAGAGGAAGGCCAAAGCAGAGAGATTGAGCTTCTCCATGTTCTTCTCACATAGGTTTGCGGCGAAATTGGTTTTGGAGTGTCCAAATACATTCATCTTTTTGGTAAGGGTACTTTTTATGCTTGTAGTTGTATGAAGAGGGTAAATAAAACAAATTTTTTATAATACTGATATCACTTTATTAAAGGCTTTAGGAAAGTTTTGAAGGCCAATTAGGTGATGAATTTTGCATAGAGGTGATTTGGATGAAAAATGGAATCAATTTGACTAAATTGTTTAGTTATGAGATAATTAGATCTAATTGACTTATGTTTAGTAAAAATTTTGAATAGATCAATTTGATTTGAGAAATTTTGAATTTATTTATTTTGACATTTAGTCAATTCCAAATGTTTGTGATTGAATAAATGATTTGAATTGACTCATTATTAAATAATTTATTTATAAAAAATAATTAGACAAATTTCTCGTTTCTGAGTTGATGTGTCCACCTTTAGACTATAGTCAATTAGTGATTTATCATCTCAAAATATATTGAACAACACAGTAGCTATAAACGTTCAAAAAGATGACACAACTATGATTTATTGGCTTTTTGGTGTTTTTTTGGATGTAAATAATAAACACCTACTAAAGAAAAAAAAACATCTGCAATAACTTTGAGTTCAAATTTCGAACTTCAATAAAAAAAACTTCAAACTCATTGCAAATATCCAACTCAAAGAATCTCTTCACATACTATTAATTAATATTAATATATTACTTAATATATAAAAGCCTAACATTGGAGTTACTATTCATTAGTGGCTCCCAAACTCCTTCAAATATAAGTGGAAAAGTTTCAAATCCTTCTTTTACCCCACTCTCTTATTCTATTATATGTGTGTTTATCTACTGTCCGTCGGGTCTACATCTATTACCACTAAGTTTTCATCTATTGTTCATTGTTTTCTCTGTTGCAACAATTACTCATATCGAAACACTATCGAAGAAATTATAAGTTCTCCTCTTCCACCATTTGCCACGACTGCCAACGAAGATCCATACCTTATCTATTATACACAATCCTCGCATTCGCCCAATAATGCACAACCCTTCTCCAAACACTTTTAGTGGAATCCTAAGTTGTACCCATCCACCGTGTCTCAAGACTGCTATAAAAAATTCATACCAAATCTGCTTTGTGTTGCCAAATTTGGTATCTAGACTGAGTTTCATATTCTTTAGTATTTTCTTATCTCTTTTTTCCATTTAGTTAAGCATGACAATTGAACTAAAACTCATGGGTAGCCAACATAATACGTCCAAGTCAAATCCACTTTCAACTCGATTTTAGTATTTTTAAATTTCTATTTTTTCCTTTCCTTGAGAATGATAATTGAACTCAAACCCATGGTACTGACGAGTTTTGTATCGAGAGCGAGTTTTATATGATTTTGTAGTTGATAGGTTAGATCGAGTGTGAATTTGTTAAAAACTCGCTTCGACCCGGTCCAAGCGAGCTGAACACGGTGTTGACGAGTTTTTTTTATCGAGTGCGAGTTTTATTTTATTTAATATTTTTATTTCTCATTTTCCTTTTGGTTGAGAATGACAATTGAACTCGGACCCGGTGCTGACGAGTTTTGTATACAAAGCGAGTTTTAACTTATTTTAGAATTGACATGTCGAACCGAGTGTGAATTGTTAAAAACTCGGTTCGAACCAGTCAATGCGAGTTCAACTCGGTGTGTAGAGTTTTTGGTAGGAAGCGAGTTTATCCGCTTTAGTCCTTTTTTATTTATCTTTTTCCTTTTGGTTGAAACCCAAACCTATGGGTATCCAAGCTAGCTAATTCAACCTGATCAAAACGACTTGAACCCGGTGTTTATAAGTTTTTCGAGTCGGAGTGAGTTTTATTTTCTTTTGTAATTTGCGGGTCGGGTCGGTGATGAATTTGTTACAAACTCGGTTCAAGCTGATCAAAGAGAGTTGAACATGATGTTGCGGAATTTTGGGTTGTGAACGAGTTTTATCCGCTTTCGTGTTTGTTAATTTCTCCTTTTTTGTTGAGATTGAAATTGAACCCAAACTCATGGGTATTCAACCTAATTCGACCCGGCCAAAATGAATTGAACCTCCTCAAACCTGTCATCAATCTCGAAAATCCATAAAAAGGAGAATCAAGATGAACTTAAAAGAAAAACAAAACAAAAAGTATACAAACTAGAGGCAAGATTAAATATAATAATCATTTGCTTGTTGATAACCCTTCTCACTTATTAAAGTTCATCGAGGTGTTGACTGCATGGAGTTGTAGATGACTAGCTCTCTATTTTTCAGTCAAAATTCAAACTATCAATCTTTAAAATATCATGTTCTCGCTCAACGCGAAACGATAGCGAACGGGTTTATGCTAGTTATACCAGTTTTGAGCTCGGTCAGTTGAATAAAAAAAGAAGTTTCATATAAGGTAATTTGATTTTTCTCTAACTATAATTTTTGACATGTATAAAAGAATTACATATTATAATTTTTTTTTCTGACGAAATGAATTACCTATTATGTTGGTATAATATATTTAAGGCTTAATACATCTCCATAGCCATAATTATCCACTTTGTGACAAACATAGTCAAATTTTGAGAAATACACAGATATAGCCATTCCGTCCAAAAGTTTAACAGCAATGTTACTGATCTGACTGGACTAATACTGTTTGATGACGTGGCACTTTTTTTTTTGTCAAACCCAATGACAGATGGAATTAGAACTTTTAATATTATTATAATTAATGGAAAAACAAAAAAACAAACATGGAAAGTTGTCTTTTCCTCTTTCATTGCTCGTCATCTCCGACTTCATTCCCTTTCCGTCTTCAATTTCCTTCTCCTAAGTAGAGTCGTCGAAGAGAGCAAGGATGAGTAGATGGAGCAGAGCAATTGAAGAAGAATACCTTGCTTACTTGCTCCCCAATAGAGGTTGAAGAAGAATCGCTGCCAACGATTGGGTTTCCTTCTCACATGTAGCAGCGGCCAGCGGGATCGAAACTTCCTGGGCTCCGTCGCTACCGATTTCAAATCCCGACCATGGGGAGAACGACCTGAGTTCGTCAATTGAATTTCCTTCGTCTTTAGCCGCCGTTACGACTGGGTAGTGGGAGGTGGAGAGAGGAAGAAGAGTACGAGAGGGAGAAGGGAGAAATAGTGAGGTTTCTAGGTCGGAATCAAATTTCTATGGAATGGATTCTTTTGGGTTTTGTGGCTTTGGTATGGCGAGGTGAGAAAGAGGGAGAACTCTAAGCTCTGAATCGAAATCAATTTTGGGAACCGCCATTGAAGCAGGCAGAGTTCTGAGCTCTGGTGTTACGAGATCTGGAAAGTTGTAATAGCCCGAGGAGACAAAGCATCTCCCGACGAAGCCTTCTCAAACCTAGTCCCTTCTGTCTCGATTTCCTTAATTACGGAGCCTATTTCTTCCTCAGTTCATCGTTGTCTGTTGTGTCGGGAAAGATGCGCGATCCGACGCGAGGAGTTGGCCGCGGAGACCCATTCGCGCAGGGACCAGCATCTGGTGTTGGTGGTGTTTGTGTATCCGATTTCATGAAAAAGAGGAGAGAATCGAGATTCAAAGTCATGAGAAGAGGCTCTATGGGCCGATGATTCACCGTGTTGTTCCGGTGGGTCGCAATGGCCTGCCAGTAACGAAGAGGGCGGCAGCGGCACATCGTCAAGCAGCGGCGGCAAGCAACTGAAGACAAAGTATAATTGGATTTTTGTTTCATAATTAATAAAAAACAATTAATTATGTTTTATAAATAATCTCTAAAATCAATAAAAATTTAATCTGACATGGCAATTGACAGTTGATGTGGATGGTGAGGTGGCATCCATCTCAACATGTTGTTGATGACATGTCAATTAGGGAGAGTCCATGTCAGCGCCGCGCCACGTCCACATTACTGACGGCATCTTTAACGCCGTCAAAATTTGTAACGAAAATGGCTAAATTTGACAATAAAGTTTTAAAAACATGGCTATATTTGTGTATTTTTCAAAATTTGGTTATTATTGTCACAAAGTGCATGTTTTTGGCTATACAAGTGTATTTTGCCTATATTTAACAATTCAATAGAATAGGAACGTCCCCCTTGAGTTATTGTTGCTATAGATAAATACGGGAGATAACATCTTCTTTTCTTCATAACCGAGAGATCCATAGGCCATAACTGAGCTTTCCTATTTTATAATTCTACAGCACTATTGTACATCAGTAGAAGATTCATTTATACAAATAAACACTTCTCTCAAAGTTCTTCGAATCATATTCGTCGCCCTCAACCTTCTCCGCGGCGACCAGTGGGTCGATGATCTTTCGCCAGCCATTGTAGTCCATGGGAGAGCCAACGCCAGGCAACACAAACCCATTTACTATGAAAGCCGGAGTTCCATAAATACCTCTCGACGTGCTGAACTGCAAACAGAAAATGAACACCAACAAGCTGACACACACGAACAGAGAGTTTATTTTTTTTACAGGATTTGTGGCTCAGAGAAAAAGAGTTTCACCTTAAAGGACACCCTTGTCTTGAGATCAGTTCTTGTGTCGCCGAATGCAGCTTGGAACTGAGCATGGAGGGATTTCCCAACAGCCACAGCTGCAATTTCAATCACCTCTTTCTCAATGGAAGCTTTCGACAGGTTCTTCGTTTGGTCATTATAGAACTTGTCCTGAAATTTCCCCCCACACCCAGAATAGCCGTGTAAAAATGAAATTAAGTTTCATTCTATCCGGTCACTGGAACAAAATCAAAGCTGCAGCGAGCTCAATAACTCGATTTGTCGGGAGATGTTCAATAATGAATTTTATTTCACATGCTAATGTGGGAAACCCGGCCTCGGGTTAGAGAGGGAGAGGGCCGAGCCGGCCTCGGGTTAGAGAGGGAGAGGGCCGAGTCGGCCATAAGGGGGGGAAGGAGTGGCAAACTTGTTATTTTATGTTATTTCGGTTTACTGCTACTTAAGGATGCATCTCATTAGTTTTGGGAGTTAAGGAATAATAATCAGAAATTCTCAAATCCCTAATCTCTATTCTCTCTCTTGTTCTTCCCCAATTCTCCAAATCCCTAAATTCTACTCTTCTCAATCCCTAAATTCCCAATTCTCCTTTCTTGTGTCTTACATCTGGTATCAGAGCCTGCGATCGTCAATGAGTTCTTCCCAACTCTCGGACCTGTCATGGGCAGAATTGCGAAACAGAGCTCGCAGCATAGGTCGCAGATGGCTGCCTGCTGAACCGGAGGCCGCGCGACCAGCCCCTGCAGCTACCGCCGCCGCGCGCCTGCCCCAGCCGGCCGCCCCCGCGCCGCCTGCGCCGCCGGTCTCTCCCTCGCCGAGCGCCGCTCCTGCGCCACCAGCGCCCGAGCCCTGTCTCTCGCTGCACTCAGTGGCGGGGTGGGCCTCCCCGGGGACTCTTCGTTTCCGAGCTCGAATCGAGGATCGTTTTGCCATCACCCTGGTCGACAGTGGCGCGTCCTTGAATTTTGTGGGCGAGGAATTCGCCAAGCAACTGCAGCAGGTTCCCGTGGCCACCGATTCCATTGTGGTGAAGGTGGCGAATGGCTCTTCCCTGAGCTGTGGAGGGGTTCTTCGAGGTATCTCTCTGGAAATTCAAGGTCTGCCTATATCCACCGATCTATATATACTGCCAATCAAGGGATTCGACATCATTTTGGGGATTCCATGGTTACAGAGTTTGGGCCCTGTGACTAGTGATTGGCAGAGGTTGACCATGCGTTTCAAATGGAGGGATAAGGATTGGGAGTTGCAGGGCCTCACCACCGTTGTTGGACCCATCCCATTCGAGGAATGTGGTCCGGAAGGCGAGGCCGAGTTGGCCATTCTGTGTTGGCCAATCGAGAAAGGGGGGCCGCCGGCGCTGCATCCGGAGCTTCAGGAGCTGCTCGGACACTACTCGGATTTATTCGAGACTCCCACCGCCTTACCTCCTCACCGACTGGTTGATCATCAGATTCAGCTAAAAGATGGAGTGGAGGCGGTGAATGTGAGACCGTACAGATATGGGCATTCGCAGAAGGAGGAGATTGAGAGACAGGTCTCTGAGATGTTGATCACGGGCTTGATCAGACCAAGCACCAGCCCGTTCTCATCGCCTGTGTTGCTGGTGAGAAAGAAGGATGGGACCTGGCGCTTCTGCACTGATTATCGGGCTCTGAATGAGGCCACAGTGAAGGATCGCTTTCCCATTCAGACAGTGGATGATATGCTGGATGAGCTCCATGGGTCCCGCTATTTTTCTAAGCTGGATCTGCGGGCGGGGTATCACCAGATCCGGATGCAGGAAGAGGATGTCCATAAGACAGCATTTCGCACTCATAACGGGCACTATGAGTACCTGGTGATGCCATTTGGGTTGTGTAATGCGCCTTCCACCTTCCAGGCGGCTATGAATGAGATCTTTCGGCCTCTCCTACGTCGGTACGTTCTGGTTTTCTTCGATGATATCCTGATTTACAGCCCTTCTTGGGCAGATCACTTGGCTCACTTGCAGGCAGTGTTCGAGATTCTGCGGGCAAATCGGTACTATATCAAGTCATCCAAGTGTGAGTTCGGGGTGCAGGAGGTGGAGTATTTGGGTCACATGGTGACTCCTCAGGGTGTGAAGGTGAACCAGTCCAAAATTCAGGTGATGGTGGACTGGCCGGTTCCTACGACGGTGACTGAGTTGCGGGGCTTCCTGGGTCTGACCGGGTATTATCGGAAGTTTGTGCAGGGGTACAGCATGATCGCCCGGCCGTTAACAGATTTACTGAAGAAATGGGGGTTCGCCTGGTCACCAGCAGCGGAGGCTGCATTTCAGCGGCTGAAGCAGGCGATGACGACCACTCCGACTCTCGCCATGCGGACTTTTCCAAGCCATTTGTGATCGAGGCGGACGCATCGGGCCGAGGGATAGGGGCGGTGTTATCTCAGGACCGCCACCCCATTGCCTTCATGAGCAAGACGCTGGCACCCTCCAAGGAGGCTTGGTCTACGTATAAGAAGGAAATGCAGGCGATTATTACTGCAGTACAGACATGGCGGCCGTATCTTTTGGGACAGAAGTTTCACATCTACACCGATCACCAGAGCTTGAAGCACCTCCTCGAGCAGCGGGTGTCCACACCGGATCAGCATAAGTGGGTGTCGAAGCTGCTAGGCTACGATTATGAGATCCACTACCGCCCCGGGTCCACTAATGTGGTGGCGGATGGGTTATCGAGGAAGCCGGGCAGCGAGGTTCTCGCCGCTGTGTCTGGACCAGTTCCGCAGTTTTGGGATGAGTTACGGGCATCCATGGAGACCAGCCAGTATTTGCAGGATTGCCGGGAAAGCGCAGTGAGCGATAATCCGGGTCATTATTTGTTTCGACAGGGGCTGGTGATGTTCAAGGGTCGAGTGGTTCTTCCTCCTGGCTCGAACCTGGTCACCTCAGTGCTCCAGGAGTTCCATGACTCTCCGTTGGGGGGTCATTCAGGCGCTGAGAGGACGCTTCGCCGGATTAGAGGCCATTTTGACTGGCCCCAGATGGCACAGGCTGTGAGAGCCTATGTGGAGTCATGCGATACATGCCAGAGAGTGAAGCTGTCTCACCTGCGACCCGCCAGGCTTCTTCAGCCGATGCTGGTACCGGAACTGGTATGGGAGGACATTAGCATGGACTTCATAGTGGGGTTGCCTCCCTCGGGTGGGAAGACGGTGTTGTTCGTGGTCGTGGATCGACTCACGAAGTATGCTCATTTTATGCCGTTGGCGCATCCGTACACTGCGAAGACTGTGGCCGAGCAGTTTGTCTTGGGAGTGGTACGACATCATGGATTTCCCAGGTCTATTGTCAGTGATCGCGACCCGGTTTTCTTGAGCAGGTTTTGGCAGGAGGTTTTTGCGATGGCGCGGACGGTATTACGCATGAGCTCGGCCTACCATCCGCAGACCGATGGGCAGATGGAGATAGTTAACAAGCACCTGGAGCAGTATCTGAGGTGCTTTACCCACCAGCAGCCGAGACAGTGGTTGGCCATGCTTCCTTGGGCGGAATTGTGGTATAACACCACGTTTCATCGGTCTATCAAAATGACCCCGTTCGAGGCCTTGTACGGGAGATCGCCCCCGACATTGGTGCAGTACAGAGGTGGTTCGAGTTCGGTTGATGCGGTGGACAGGTGGTTGGGTGCGAGAGATGAGGCTTTGGAGCAGTTGAGAACCAATTTGGCTGCAGCAAGCAACAGGATGAAGCAGGCAGAGGATGCAGGGCGGCGGGATGAGGAGTTTGAGGTGGGTGACTGGGTACTGTTGAGGCTGCATCCCTACCGGCAGTCCTCGGTATTCAGGCGGGCATACCAGAAGCTGGCAGCTAGGTTCTTTGGGCCGTATGAGATCATCCACAAGGTCAACCCGATTGCTTATCGGCTGCAGCTACCTGCAGGTTCGCGCATACACCCGGTGTTCCACATTTCCTTGCTGAAGAAGAACCGGGGCCAGGCGGACAGGGTGACGTTGACGGCTCCTCCGGTGACAGCAGATGACGACTTGGAGCTAGTTCCTCTCAAGGTGTTGGAGACCAGGTGGACAAAGAAGGGAGGGCGGTTGGTGGAAGAGAGCTTGGTGCAGTGGAAGCATGTGGAACCGGAAGACGCTACTTGGGAGGAGTCGGAGGTGCTTCGCCAGAGATTTCTGGGCTTCGACATCGAGGCCGATGTCGATTCTGAAGGAGGAGGGGATGTGGGAAACCCGGCCTCGGGTTAGAGAGGGAGAGGGCCGAGCCGGCCTCGGGTTAGAGAGGGAGAGGGCCGAGTCGGCCATAAGGGGGGGGGGAAGGAGTGGCAAACTTGTTATTTTGTGTTATTTCGGTTTACTGCTACTTAAGGATGCATCTCATTAGTTTTGGGAGTTAAGCAATAATAATCAGAAATTCTCAAATCCCTAATCTCTATTCTCTCTCTTGTTCTTCCCCAATTCTCCAAATCCCTAAATTCTACTCTTCTCAATCCCTAAATTCCCAATTCTCCTTTCTTGTGTCTTACAGCTAACACGCTCATTCAAAAGAAATTCATTCATATAGACTTGAAATTTGCACAGCTATCAGACATCATGTGCTTACCTACGAGGATTACCGGGATTCAAACTAAAGACTAAACTCTGATATCATGTCAAAAACCAATTAACCCCAATAATTTGAGTTGTTGAGAAAACTCAATAATCGATCTTATATTACATACTAACCGTACATGCTATCAACACAACAATTCTAGCCTTCCTTTGCCGGCTTGAGTTATTTTCATATGTACCATTTTATGAACTCGTTACAATTTCTCATATATACTTAAATTTTGCACAAGCATGCATCTGACATCATGTGTTTACTAATAAGGGTTATCGGGATTCAAACAGCAGATTACTAAGTCACAAAAGGCTGTAATACAATGTCAAAAAGCAATTAACCTTTATAATTCGGAATGTTGAGAAAGACAAGGGATTTTACGTGGTATCCTCGATCAATTGATTGATCGAGACTAATCCACGGTGAGCTCATAAGAGCTCACGGCTGATCTCTTATTAGGATTACATCTTGACGGCTTGCTATCACACAAGTCGATAGCTAAGCTTATATAGATAAACTTAGGGTTAAAACCCTAATCCAACGAATCAGACGAGGCCCAACAAGGCCCAATACTAACACGGTTTAAGTAACCGCAACACTCCCCCTCAAGCGAAGACATGAATGACAAGAATGTCGAGCTTGAAGAAGTAAATGTGAAGAACAAGCATGATGGCTTGAACCACAAAACTCGAGATTAATAACATCTCGGACGAGGTTGATTGGAGATGACTGGCTCTCTCTAAACAACCTGATGATGGAGACGATTGACTGCTTCTCTTGAACTTGAACACACCTGGTACATCGCGGTCGACCTAATGACTGAGGTAGTCGACCGACGTATGTTGACCTCCTATTCTCCCCCTCAAGCTGGAGCATGAACATCGTGAATGCCCGGCTTGAAAAGCGATGAATGGTTGAAATGTGCCCACTAATGAACCGGAAGAGGGGACGACCATTTCTTAGATCGTGAATGCCAACTGGACGATGAAGGGACGATGACTTCTCTGATCGTACTACCTTTTGAACGCCAGGGGACGACCATTTTATGAATCGTGAATGCCCTCGACCTGATGACTGGAAAATTTTGTTGACATAAGCTGTTGTTTTTCCCCAACACTAGCTATTTGAAGAGATGACCACTGCCGGTCATGATTGCCTTCAACGCCATGACTGTGATGTTGGTGAAGATTGGCTTACTGTGCAACATTCTAAACTGAATAAAATAAGCGGCAGCTGAGAGTGGCCTTGATGAAGATGACCCCGGCTGCAACGTTGAGAAGACTTCTAGACAAAACACAATGAATGCGACTGCCTTTGACTGAACTCGGTTGTTGATGATGGAAGCGGATGAGATCGCCTGTTTGGTGACAACCGCACTAGCTACAAGATGGAAGGCGAATTGCCAAAATTCAGCTGGACACAAAGTCTGGATTGAACAGAATCATGGCAGCTACAAAGCTTTTTCGTCTTCTAGTAGGAACATGCAAGCGTGTGAATTACACTCGCAACAAGCAATCATCACAACGAACACAAGGCAGTAAAATCTCCACAAAAGAAGATGACTCGACCAAAGAACATGGACTATCAAATTTCAGTTCCATTGGTTGGATTTTCACGAGCTGCTATAAGCCATGATTATTACCCCTCTTCCCGCACAAGTCATCGGAGCTCCCAACTTCTGTAATACTTTGTGACCATGATGAAGACGACCGGCCGCATTCCGGACAGGACTACTCGACAGGCCAAAACTCACAAATCCAAAACACAGGATATGGAACCACGGTTCCAATTAAGACCCAAACACAACTTTAGATGATGATCACTGAAACTCTTGCAACGCCGCCAGGACGACTCTTGAAAGAACCCAGCTGCCAACTTCTTTTCAACAACATGACTTTGGAAGGATTATTTGTTTTGGGGTGAATCCCTATAAGGAAATGAGCACCCAATACACAAGACGATAAAGCCCCATCAAAAGTTGTGATAAAAGTGACAAACCTTTAGCTGAACCGCAATCTTTGATATATTCTTCTCTAATGGCTATCCAAGTGTCCCGACGAAAATCCACGACCATTATGGTGGACATGCTGAGAGAGAGCTGGACGACGGGATAAAGGGCCATCCGAGAGTGCAGAAGTTGGACGGGGCTTGGCACATCCACCGTAGGAAAGCAGAGACAAAGGCTTCACGGAAGACTCGATGACCTTCAAGATGACTACCACGCCGCAATAGTTATGACGCGGCTGATTGATTCCGGAAACAAGAAAATGGTACTGGGCTGATTGAGCAATCACCGAGCGGATGATCGACCTAGTCCCAAATATATGACGGATCTAGCTGGACTCCATGAGACTAGAATCTTGGCAGATTTGTGACGTCGGGACAAAATCGGATGCTCGGCCGACGATGGATTGACTGCCAGGGATTCTTGACTCTTAGCTCTTTGACAGGTAACGAGAAACGCCATTGATGAAGAAGCACAGCCGAGCAGCAGGGACATCAGTGGCTTCGGCTGATGATTTGTCGTGAACAACAACTGGGTGATGACAAGAGAATCGGAACCGGCAATAGCAGTACTGCCGTCACGAGTCACGACAACAACTCTGTTGCGATTGACGATGATGCTAACGGAGAGCCGGACGAGAATTGAACATCGGTAACTCTGGGAACACGACTTCAATGACCTCGTAGACAAACAGATCTTGATTGATCCAGACGTTTGTAACTCAAAACCCTTGACAATTGATGGCCGACGTATCTTGATTGTGGAACGAGACTGCTGAAGGTTGAATGCAAAACCCTAGATCGAGGTTTGCTCTGATACCATGAAGAATTTGATAATGCGGAATAACAAGAACACGAGACAAGGGATTTTACGTGGTATCCTCGATCGATTGATTGATCGAGACTAATCCACGGTGAGCTCATAAGAGCTCACGGCTGATCTCTTATTAGGATTACATCTTGACGGCTTGCTATCACACAAGTCGATAGCTAAGCTTATATAGATAAACTTAGGGTTAAAACCCTAATCCAACGAATCAGACGAGGCCCAACAAGGCCCAATACTAACACGGTTTAAGTAACCGCAACATCCTTTGCTAACTCAAGTTATTTTCATATGTACCATTTCAAGAACTCGTTAAAATTTCTCACCTGATACTTGAAGAACTGCTCGAGCAACGGAAATGTGGATGAAGAATTGAGCAGGTTTGCGATATGCAGAGCTCGAGAAGCAACATATGCGTTGTCATGGTACCTGTAGCCACAAACAAAAACAAAAAAAAAAACACTCTGTTTTTCATAGAAATCAACAAGATCGAAATCACTTCTCTCAACTACTTCCAATCAACAATTTTACTGACGGTAAAGGGAGCAGGTGAAGGAGCAAGGAGACGCGAGAGCCGTAGTGGGTCAAAGCTAGCTTGAGAGGCGCCCACGAGTCTCTGCTGTCGGAGCAAACCGGGTCGAAGAACGCCTCGATCACAATTGGGTTCGGACCCACCGGCCCGTTTTCGTAGACGAACCCATCGGCCCAGGCCGGCGGCAACGACTGGGCGTTTGAGATGACGGTGAAGGAGCAGAGGAAGGCGAGAATTGCTGTGTTGATAGGTAGCTGCTTCTGCATCTTGGCTCAGTTCTTTGCTCTGTTTTCCACTCTGAGCTTGGCTGCAGCTTATTCCACCGCTGGATAGATATTTGTGTGAAATACGACGAGGACAGCAAGTTGTTATTAGTGGACGTCCTGAATTTGGTGTTTGCTTTCGCGGGTCAGGCAAATTGGGTTCAATCCGACGATGATGTGTGTTCTCCATGCCCACACCTCTTTCGGTTGTGAACAGTCAAGTTTATGGTATTTAATGCCGTTCTTTTCCTTGGCGTTGAAGTGGAAGCGACCATATTTAACCCAATATAAATTCGTTCAAAATCTCATCAGGATTGAATTGGTATATAAGCAGATATATCTATCTGTTATGATTTGATTGCTAGGTGATTTAGTACAAGCGTTATAGGTATAACATACCACTCTTGTTATGTATTTTTCTCAAACATGCTATTATATAAAATTTTAAATAAAATCTGTCTTTCTAATATAATAAGGGCTTAATACGCTAGTTTGGCCTGAAGTTTGGCGTAAGTGTCAGTTTTGGCCCGAAGTTTTCAATAAGACATTTATGGCCAATTTTTCAAATTAATAGACAAATTTGGCCTGCTATTTGAATTGACCGTCAAAACTGACGGTTAACTATTTTTCCCGTTAGTGAGTCAGCACAGCTCATCCATGTCACATTTTTTCTTAAATTAAAGAAAATTTGAATTCAAATAAAAAATAAAAATAAAAAGATAGAAGGGAGGGGTCACGAGAGGGTCACGAGGACCATTGTCTCCTCCCCTTCCCCATCGTTCACGCCTCCATCGAACTCTCCTTACCCATCTGCCATCCATTCCCGACCGAGCGAGTCCAGCGATTCTTTCGCCGGCCGCCTGCCTTTCGTACTGCCTCCGCCACCTGTCTTCTTCGCCAACCTCACCGCCCGTCATCTACGCCATCCCTCGCCGCCGGCCATCTCCGCCAGCCCTCGCCTTGCCGCCTTGTGTCCCTCGTCGCCCTTGCCAGACAATCAGCCTTTGATTTTCGATTCATCAACAGCTAGAGCAGAACTAGAACCGGTGAGTTCGGTCTCCCTTGAATCAGCATTGGGTTTCCAATTTTTGATTTGGCGTGGCGGCGGCGAAAGCCGGAGGAGAAGCTGTCATAAACCAGTTGGTCCCAATAACTCGAGTTGTTGGGAGAAGGTTATGTTGGATCTTATAGAGGCCCGTGTATGGTGCTTAACCACTTCCTTACACGCCCCCTCAAACGAAAGCCGACTCTTTGACTTTCTTATGGGCTTAGACGACGTGTTCTCGACGGTCAAGTCCCAAATTTTGTCTATGAAACCTCCGCCCAACGTCACTGAGGCGTATAACATGGTTGCCACTGATGAGCAACAACACCGGATTGCCTCTGATCGAAAGCCCAAGGTAGAGGCTGCTGCCTTTGCCGCAACACAAGATAAGCTTGTTGTGCGAGATACCCCCGATCGCGGCGATGTCGATGACCGACCGCGCAGCCAACACTGCCGCAAGCCTGGGCATAGCAAGGATCATTGTTTTGAGCTGATCGGGTATCCGCCAAGCTACTTTGATCGGGGCGGACGTGGGCATCGCGGTCGTGGCCGCCGATCCGAAGGGCGAGGTCGAGGAGGTCCCCGTGCAGCAGCCGCGACGCCCAAAGATAGTTCAATTCCAGGCCTCTACAAAGCTCAACTGGATCAGCTGCGTCAATTCCTCGGCAATGACTCCAATTTTGTTGACGACAACAAATTTTCAGGTACTTTCCCTCGTTCTAACTCGTGGATTTTGGACTCTGGGTGCAACGAGCACATAGCTACGGCTGCACATATGTTGACAGGGGCTAAAGGCGAGTCGCATCTTCGAGTTAGTATCCCAAATGGTGATTCAGTGAGGGTAGACAGTGTAGGATCCGTGGAGTTCAGTAATGGGATGGTGTTACCACGGGTCTTATTGGCTCCCGAATTCAAATGCAATTTGCTCTCCATTAGCAAACTTACTCAGGAATTTCCCGTCGCACTGATCTTCATCCACGACTTTTGTATTCTTCAGGACTCACGCTCCAGAAGGATGATTGGGATGGGGATACAGCGTGATGGGCTATATCATCTGCGGCTGTTTGTGGCGTCCGGGGTGCCGGCAGCTCATGCAGTATGGACAAAAGAGAGGAAGGGCGACCATCTATGGCACGCTCGACTGGGTCATCCCTCTCCTGAGAAGTTATTATTATTGCATTTGGTTTCTAGCTCTAGTCAGTCGGATAGACATCATTGCTCCGCGTGTTTGCGAGCTAAACAAACTCGTATTCCTTTTCCCTTGAGTTCTATTAAGACTATTGGTGTTTTTGAGCTCGTACACGTGGATATTTGGGGAGGTTACCCCACTGCTAGTTTGAGTGGAGCACATTATTTTCTGACTATTGTGGACGACTATAGTCGTGGTGTTTGGGTCTATCTTTTGCGGTTCAAGTCTGAAGCTAGTCGGTACTTGCGGTTGTTTTGTCAGCAAGTTGCTCGTCAGTTTGGTCGTTCTGTTTGTCGTATACAGGCTGACAACGGTATGGAATTCCAGACGAACGAACTGGTTGATTATTACGAGAAGGAGGGAATTGTTCTCCAAACCTCCTGTGTTCACACCCCTCAGCAGAATGGGGTCGTTGAACGGAAGCACCGGCATTTGCTCGAGACTGCTCGTGCATTACGGTTTCATGCACATCTTCCCATCCGCTTCTGGGGAGAGTGCTTGTTGACTGCCGTCTACTTGCTAAACCGGCTTCCTACCACAGCTACTCAAAATGACACTCCATTCAAGCGCATTTTCGGGCGCGAGCCTCAATATACTCATCTTCGCACCTTCGGTTGCTTAGCATATGCGAAGAATACCTCTCCCCACTTGGACAAGTTTGGCGAAAGGGGGAGAGCCTGTGTTTTCCTCGGGTATCCATCTACTCAAAAGGGATATAGGGTCATGGATCTTGCCACACATAAACTGTTCACTTCACGTGACGTTGTTTTTTGCGAGGATCAGTTTCCTTTTCAGCAAGCTTTTCTCTCGACCCAAGTATCTCCTGGCCGCGCTATGGTGGACACTGACGAGGAGCAGCTCGAATCTGCCCTCTCATCGCCACCTGGTCCCGATCAATCCTCGTCTGGCGAGGACGTTGTGACCCCTTCGAGCTCCGTGCCATCGCCGGAGCCACCTGGTGCTTCTCCTAATTCGGCCGAGCATAATGTGCCCGAGGCCGAGCCAGCTCTTGGTCGAAGGCTTCGTGCACGGCGGCCGCCCAGTTTTCTAGTCAACAACTATGACGTCCAGCTACCTTCTTCACATACAGGTCATGTTTCTAATGTTAAGTACCCTTTGCAAGCTGTCGTTAATTATGCTCGTTTATCTTCTGATCACCGTGCGTACATTGCAGCCATCTCTCGGGAGACAGAGCCTACATCCTTTTGGGAGGCAGTGCGTCATCCTCACTGGCGAGCAGCGATGCAGCGTGAAATTGATGCATTGGTCTCTAATGGCACATGGGAGCTCATGGATTTGCCCCCCGGAATGCGGGTGATCGATGCCAAATGGGTATATAAGATAAAATATAATCCCGATGGGCCCATAGAGTGGTACAAGGCCCGACTTGTCGCCAAGGGTTATACGCAAGTCGAAGGTGTTGACTTCCATGACACCTTTGCACCTGTTGCCAAACTCGTCACCGTCCGTTGCATTTTAGCTCTCGCTGCTCAGCAAGGATGGTTTCTTCACCAGCTTGACGTGAACAATGCGTTCTTGCATGGCGACCTCGAGGAGGAAGTATATATGCGAGTCCCTCAGGGATTTGCTCGCCCGGGGGAGACCAGAGTATGTCGTCTGCGCAAATCTCTTTATGGCCTCAAGCAACCTCGCGTAACCGGTACATGAAGTTTACGTAGGCTCTGGTCGTCTTTGGTTTTACTTGCTCACGGGCGGATCATTCCCTTTTTATTCGTAGACATGGTGGTCATTTTACTTTTGCACTCGTCTACGTTGATGATATAATACTTGGTGGAGACTCCCTGGCCGACATTCAGCAAGTGAAAGTTTTTTTGCATCATCGTTTCAGCATAAAAGACTTGGGTGAGCTGAATTATTTCCTGGGGATCGAGGTCTCGCGGTCTCAGAAAGGCATTATTCTTACACAGCGGAAGTATGCATTGGACATCATTGCGGATACAGGCGCTCAGGGAGCACGCCCTTGTTCATTTCTCGTTGAACAAAACCATCATCTCAGTCTTCTTGAAGGTCCTGAAGCGCCTGATCCCTCGGCTTTTCGAAGACTAGTGGGTCGGCTATTATATTTAACGGTCACACGAACAGACATTGTGTATGCAGTGAACGTACTCAGCCAGGCTGTTCACAGTCCGTGCCAGGCACATGTTGAAGCAGCGCATAGAGTTCTTCGTTATTTAAAGAGTGCTCTAGGAAAGGGATTGTTCTTCCCAACTGATAGTTCGATGGAGTTGGTTGGCTACTGTGATGCAGATTGGGGAGGGTGTCAGCAGACACGACGTTCTACTACAGGGTATTTTATCCAATTGGGAAAGAGCCTAGTATCCTGGCGTACGAAAAAGCAGACTGTGGTGGCGAGGTCTTCTGCAGAAGCAGAATATAGAGCTATGGCCAACACTGTAAGTGAAATTATTTGGTTACGTTGGCTTTTCCAGGAGATGGGAGTTGATATGAAGTCTGCAACCCCTCTACATTGTGACAACCAGGCAGCTTTACACATAGCAGCGAACCCGGTATTTCATGAAAGAACGAAGCATGTCGAGATGGACTGTCACTTCGTTCGTGAACGTGTGACATCGCAAGAGATTGCGCCACAGAAGATAGCAACACAGGATCAGATAGCAGATATATTTACGAAGGGTTTGGGAGCCGATCGGTTCACTTTCCTCTCTTCCAAGCTTGGCCTTCATAATCTTCATGCCTCCGCTTGAGGGGGAGTGTTGCGGACCATGCACGTAGATAGCATGGCCGAGATGGTTGGGGTGCTTTGCTGTGCATTTAATTATTATGGGTAGCTAATTGTAATTAGCTAGTTGATTATAATCGAAACCCTAG